TAGCCAGGATGGTCTCGATCTCCTGACCTCGTGATCCGCCCGTCTCGGCCTCCCAAAGTGCTGGGATTACAGGCTTGAGCCACCGAGCCCAGCCACTCATACTTCTTTAATGCTATCTAATTATATTAGCAAGTTATTTTTATTTAAATGTACTTCCCATCTCATCACTCATCACCCACTGAAATAGTATGAGTTACAGCTTATATACAAAAAAAACATAGTTATTACAACATCCAATAGTAATAAAAACTTAGTTAAGCTGTTTCCCATATAATAGGCCACTCTTCCCACGCAATTTCATTCATATCTTTTTCTTGTTTCTTGCTTTTCTTCACTGGGCATGCCCTCTCCCAACATATTTACTGAGAATGCCTTTCCCCAATCCTAACCAGTCTTCCATGTTAATTTCAAATACTACTTCTTTTATACAGTATTCTTTGGTCTTCCACAGCTGGAAAAACTTTCTTGTCTCCTGAACCTCCATTTGTTGTATTTTGACCCAAACCACTTTCTACCATATACTCTAATCATTTGTTTACATGTCTTATCTTTCCTTCTATAACTTACACTACTTAAGGGCAAAGTCCATGTCTGATTTATTTTTTATCATCCTGTCAGCCTTAGAACCATGTTTGGTACCCACTAGACATTCAATAAGCAACTGCCGAATGAGAAAGTAAAAGGGGCATAAATTAAATACTTACTATATGGTTCTTTGAGCAACACAGGAGGTGAGAGTTTAATAAAATAGTCAAGGACACATAGCATTAACTGAAATGAAATCACCAGATCATCTTCCATTTGTAATACTTCCCCTGAAAAAAAAAATTTTACATTTTTAAAGAAAGTTAGAAATTCAGATCTCTGTATCAGAGAAAATTGTAGGGTAGAGTATATCCATAAATTCATTCCTTCAACTATGAGCATGGTAAAGATTTTCTTTCTTTTTTTGCAAAAAGAAATCTGTTTCAAAAGGTATAAAATATATAAAATAGAAATATATAAAGTTATGGAGTTATAAATCAAGTGTTAAGTCTACTATGAGAATTTTACATTTAAGTATTTCTATAATAATTCTGTATGTCTAAAATCATTATAAATTTTGCTTTTTAAAATTTATTTGGGCCGGGTGTGGTGGTTCACGCCTGTAATCCCAGCACTTTGGGAGGCCGAGATGGGCGGATCACTAGGTCAGGAGATCGAGACCATCCTGGCTAACACA